CAACCTAGCATTAGCAACCAAAATAACTAGCATTGCCAAAAGCATTTTTGCCCAAAAAAACTAGCATTAGCCGCTGAGGCCTAGTCTTCGTCCAACGTCTTCGTCCAACGTCCACATTAATTTGGTAGCGGATATACACGTACCGCCGGTACATGACAAGTATCAACATTGAAGATTGAATAAAATCAAGATTTTTACATAACCATAGCGTACTGAGTATGCTGGCCGCTATGCCATTTCCGGAAGTGTCCTACCACCCGGACCGGCGTCCCGAGCGACCTAGGCTACATGTAAAGTACATGTACATGACAATAGTCAATTATTATTATTATTAGTTCCTCAACCACAAAATAATTAGTTTTAAAATATCCTGGACTGATGGAGTGGATCGGGCGCGGAACTCCGGAGGTATTTGTACAATATTATATATGTCATGTACAAGGTGAGTCGGAGATCGAGTGTCAAGTGCGCCAGCAGCACTTCTTTTGTACACGTTTGCAGCTGTGGTCAACAAACCACAAGATCGGAAGTAGCTAGTTGTAGGGCACGTGCGCAGCGTGAGCCGTGACCTAGGCCACGCGCGTACGTCGGCGGCTCGGCGCCTAGCGCCTAGTGACGTAGTGTGCATAGCATGCAGCGATGCTTGCTTTTTTTTTTGCTGTGGGCCGTTGGCGTCTGGGGATTATTAATATCACACTGGAGCCCAGGGGCAGGGCTAGCCTAAAGAGTAACGTAGATCTACTGTCTGTATGACTGGGCCGGGCCATGTGTGAGGGGGCCTAGGCTGGGGTCCAGGGAGCAGTAGGGCTAGTGGGGACTAGGGGTGTGCGGATGTGGTCATGCTGTACATGTATGTACGTGTACTTCCCAATCTGTGGACAGCACAAGAAGAAGCAAGGCGGACATTACGTGTTCTAGATATCGAGGTTGAACATGATCAGTCCAGGTGTATTTTGTTTTCATTGTACATGTACATGTATTTGCGAACATTGCATTGTGTTATTTTCCCGCACAAGAGCTAAGAAGTGACTAGGAAGCAAGGCGGATGACTTTTCTTTTTCCTTTTTGCCTCATCGGCGCTCTTTGAATTTGTGTGTCAACAGAATGATGTTAAATAAATACTACTAGTACTACTACTACTAGTACTATGACCAAGAGTACATAACCCCCATGTACTCTTGCTATGACACACTTATTACCAGTGCCAGGCTTCGAAGGATAGTGCTCCAGTCCTGACTAGCGGTCTAGCGCACTGTAGTGTAGACTGTAGTACAGGCTACAAGCATTCTGTTGGTGAGAGCAGAACTGGCTGCTCTTGTTCTGTTCTGGTTAGGCATATGCGGATAATGCCGGCAGAAAAATTGGCAGAATTCGGTACTTTTTCTGGTAAGTTAGTTTCATGCATACGAACTTTAATTACCTAATAGAAGTTGCGACATCGGCAGTAATAGTCATGAAGTTGATTGTTCCAACTAGGTCTAGGAACACACGCGTCTCGTGTGCTCCGGATGGCAGTCGTGAGTCAGTCAAGTGTCAAGTTCGGCAAGAAGCGTGTGTTCCTAGTTTCATGAAGTTTCATGCATGATTGGTATGTGGATAAAGAAATGGAGCAGAATTCGAGGAATTGCCTGCCATAAGGCTTGTATGGTTCTGCCAATTTCACTGCTTTTCGAGCAGAATCTGCCACCTTTTCGAGCATTATCCGCCAATGCCTAGTTCTGGTGTAGCCAAGGACTGTGCCCTAGTAGTCATGTACATGTAGGTGCGAGGAGGGAGGATGATGAATGCTTGGTACATCAGAGTTCGCGTTGCAAACTACTGTACTTATAGCTTACAGACCGATCATGATATCAGGCGATCTACGCGGAAAGAGAAACGAGTACTACTACTACGGAGTGACAGGGAAGACATGTCACCTGAAAAAAAGTATACAATCGTCAGTACGTCGCGCGGATTCATGGCATATTAATTATAATGATTATATTCACGATTGAACAGAGATTGAAGGGCCGGGCCGTGCGTGCATTTGATGACTCGCGGCCCATGCCCACTGTTGAGTATGAATAATGAATTAGGCAGTACTGCCAGTAGTCATGGTAGTAGGCTGTACTGGCACTCTCCCACCACACTGGGCCACTTGCCCAGACTTGGGCACTGTCACAGTGTGTAGTATGTGTTAGCCAGACGGTAGAGTCCTTTGTACCCAGTGCAGTGATCGTGAGTTGAAGACTAGTACAGTAGTCAGTAGTACTACTACTAGTAGTAGAATCCATAGATTCATGCATTAATTTTGTCATCGACCACGATTACCATCAAGAGACAGTTGAGTCCATGGACTTTTGTAGAATCCGGCTCTTCATTATCAGTTCATATTCCTGCTGAAGTGCGCACATCGCCCTCGATCTCAGCGACTCACTACATATACATGGCACCGCAGTGGGCTAGCTTGCTAGAGTGCTCAACACCGCAAGGATGGAACAATAGTACTATTAATATTATTAGTTATGTCCATGGCCATGTGCATGTACATGAATGTCACACTGCTGGCATTCAAAGTAGAGACAATAGCGCCTAGTGTAGAGGACGTCAATCATTGAATACAACAATCAACTTCCTTACCTTATTATTAGCTAAACGCCAACGCCAACAGATCAGCATCGACTACATGTACGTATTTTGCTACTACCAATACGTCATGTGATATTATGATTTGTGACAGTAGCCACATACAAATACATGTAGTGACTAACAACAGCACACGGAAATATTGCAAATGACACCCATGCTGGACTATTCGTAGTGCCAAGAGTGCATTGTGGACTCTTGGTACATGTAGCACCATGAGGCATGATTGTTTATGGCCAGGAGTGAGGCCACTGCATGTATGCCAAGGTGACTGTTTATACTAGTCGGAGATAAATGCCAAGAATACAGTCATACATGTACATGATTGTACAAGTCATGTAATACTACAAAAACATCATTCTACAACATGTACTTACGTACTAGTACTACTTACTCAGTTGTCTGATGATTGCCTAGCGGCATGAAACTCAGACTGAGAGTTACAACCAACCTGCAACCAGTTACCTGAACGTCCTCCGCTGAGTCTGCTAGTACTTACTCTTGATACTTGGGAGAGGCCACCAGTTTTCTTGAACTCGACATGTTGACATGTTGACCACTTGAAGTACATGTAAGTTTCCATGTCTAATAACATTGTCAGAGTTGACGGTGCTCGTGGCGACGGGGAGACGAAGGTAGTGACTCCCAAGAAGTCGGAACAGAGATCATGGAAGTGGAACTGGAAGCACGCGATGTCAGACTTCTTGGGGTTACTGTCTGGCAGAACAGAGGACACACACTGGCCTTCAAAGCGTGCAAAACGGCTGCAATTCCAGTGTGAACAGAGTGGGTCCATTGTCTAGATTTCCACTATAAATAAAGTATACAACAACAACACTGGATGGAAAACACATCAGCACTACCGGACTACTGGCCTTGGCTTGGGGACCGTGATGGTCATGTAGCTTCTCACTGGTGTAGTCTACACGTACATGTATATGTATCTCTCATGCCAGCCATGGTCTTCACAACTCACTGGTGCAAAGTACAATTAATATTAATTTTACATGTACATGTACATGTACATGTATGTGTGCACTGTACAATCAAATGAAGAGCATTATTGTTGTTGTTGGATGGATTTATTTATTGTTATTGGGCAACCTGCCCTTTAATATAATCTGCAAAGTAAAAATTAATAACCAACAACAACAACAACGACAACAACAACAACAACATGTGATCATGGTAATGGTCGGTGTGTTGCTTTGTAGTGCTGCTGTCGTGATGACAGCATGGCCGATGTTCGTATCAGTATGGATATGCCCGATTATGAATACTAGAGTGCGTATCGGTTATAGCGTGGTCGTGTAAAAGAATATAATTATCGCCTACAAGAATGAACTCTCATCAGTGTTTTCATAATCATAGCATGGGTTTCAAGTGCACTTTTATTCTTACAAGCAATTTTATCGCATAGTAGAATACATGTACATGTATAATTATCGGTCCTAAGAATGTGTGTTTTGTTTTTTTTGTTTGGCTTTATTTAAAGTGGAGTTCCAAAACAGGCCTAAACCTAATGACAATGGTCCCACTGAATGGACTTGTCTTTGTGTAGCGAAACATGCCAGATACTGATTACCGGTAGTACAAAGAAGTGGATCGCCTGTACGATGTGTACTGTAGTATAAATAACATCATCCTGTCCAATGCAGTTCTGATCTGACTCGCATTGGGTCGTACTGCAGGACTGGTTCAACTGTTCATTCTGTTGTGGTCATGTAAGTTTGTAACTCATGTTGGATAGCGCTAGCCACATGGTAAGCCTATGCCTATGGGACTATGGCCAGCCGCATGCACAGTAGATCTACAGTAGCACTACGAATATGGAATAGTACGATGATCTTCCTGCCCCTGCTCATATGCATAATGATATGTCACACTTGATGTATCGTGTGTATCGGAAATAAGAATAGAAAGTCGTTTTTCAAACACCCACGCTATTAGTAACCGATACCTACTGCATGCATGCTAGTACATGTACTAGGATTATGGGATCTACATGATCTAAAAGTGTAAAATATCAGGTGACCAGGTGACAGTGACACCAAAACTTCGGCAAAAGGCCAAAAAAAACTATCGAAAAGCTGATAATATTTTGAGGATCCGGAGCGCATTTGGCACTTGTCCTGTACTACGCAAAGCGCGTGTGCGGCTAGCTCTGATCGATCTGCACTCGAGCTCGCTTTGTTTTGGTTGACAACTGTGCATGTGCGGTTGATCGCCGCCGCGGGACTGATATGAATGCTTTGCGTGGTCGTAAGTACACGCTTGTATGTCATGCATGCACGCTAGCGCTGAGTAAAGCATGGCAAGGGCAAGATCGTGGGATTTTGTCTGAAAAATCTTGCATTGAACACGTTTGAAAAGACAGTCATTGGTTTATGGCCCAGTCAATGAGGTGGCTGCTCGTATTGCAATGAATGGTATTCGATAGGGCTCTGCTGCCGTCTCCTTTCCCCTGGCGAAAGCTGCGCTGCCACGGCCCTGGGTTGCCATTTAGCTTCTGCACTAACAGGAAGGATGAACACTTTACGCTGCGAGGAGCCTTCTTGGCTGGTGGAGAATCTGAACAAGCAGACCGATTCAATTCTTGTCCTAGATTTGAGAACACGTGAAGATTTCCTCACTGGCCACGTTCGAACTTCTGTGAACTTGCCGTGCCAGAATTCGGGAGAAATGGAGAGAGGCACCAGTGTGGAACAGCTTCTATGCCCTGGCAGCACTGCAGAGGAACGCGGGCGTCTCGCTGCCCGTGGCCATTCAGAGAGTATTGTGTTGTACGACCAGGACTCTACGGAGGAAAGAAAGGGCGAGGCCCTGATGGCCGTCGCCGACATGCTGGTGGCGGAGAAATGCCGCCACGTTTGCTTCTTGAATGGTATGTTCACGGCAGGGGTGAGGAAATGAATTATGTGTTTCTCGAATATCGTGCCAACAAATCAACAAATCAGATATTTTCAGGCAATCAGCACAATGCACAATGTACACACAAACACACGCACGCACTGGTGTACAGGTTGACAATACTCAGGAAGTGTAAAAAAACCCCAAAGTAGCATGGGCTGGTAGTACAAATACGTAGTAGTACACATTTTTTTCTGATCTGTTTGTGATCATACTCATCTCCATACGAGATAGAGAGTCCCTGTTCTTGGAGCTGGTTGCTTGTTGACTGCCTTGCCGCAATGAAAATCTTATTGTCTGAGGATGGATATAATAATATTATTAAAATGTACTCAATCTGCGGACAGAACGCAATTTTATGTACAAGATCCTCTAGGCTAGCAGACTAGCACTACATGTACTCATGATTGCGTTTATCTGAATTCTGACTGGCGGCAGTGGCAGACTGGTTTAGCCAAGCATTACGCAGTGCATGCTTATCAGCTAGCACGGAAACCACCCATCTCTCACGTCACAAACTGCGAGCTTTTTGTTGTATCGTGCCAGGTCGGTAGTGAAGGCGTGAACTCTCCAGCCCAGGTGGCTGCGTAGAAGAATGGCTACGTTTCTTTTTGCTTTCTCTGCCGTGTCTCTGCACGGACGAACTGCAACCTCTCTGCTCTGCTCTGTTCTGTCCACGCATATGCTGTGCGTGTTTGCGAGATCACTCGGCTTAGCTGTGTTTTAATGAATGCACACACCTGGCATTGTCTGTCTTTCCCCATGTGAACCAGGTGGGTTTACCAGCATCCTGCGCTCACACAAGGACATTGTGTCACCGGCGAAGAAGGCAAAGAGAGGTCCGAGGGGTCCTCCCCCGCCGCTGTCGTTACCCGGATCAAAACCGGGCAACTCTGAAGAGGAGGCGAAAAAGACAGCGGACCCCGACAAGGAGCAAGTGAAGCAGGGACAGCTATCTGAAGTACTGCCAGGAGTCTTCCTCGGTGACTGGACCAGTGCCAAGTCTCGTGATGCCATGATCAAGTTTGGCATTACAGATGTATTCAACGTCACCAGCGACTTGCCAAACACGTTTGAAACCGACGAGGAGTTGAACATCACCTATGACCGCTATGCTGCCGAGGATGTGGCCTCTGGTTCGTTGACGCCTCACTTTGAAAGGGCTTTCTACAGTATAGGTGAGTGCTCCGTTTCTGCTTAGACTCACCAGCATCAGTTGTATTCATTTCTTTTTAGTCGAGCAAAAGAGCTAAGTATCTCGCCATCATAATGTCACACTGTGCAGTTACACCGGTATCTCACGAAGGAATTGGATTTACACTGAGTGATAGGACAACCAGGGATTTCCCGGTCGTGAAGAGGCAACACTGTAGTTCCACACAGGTCATCTGCATGTATAGTAGGGCGCGCTCACCCAGTTTCGGGAGTGGTGCGCGAGTTCGATTGGGAACATAGGACGAAGGGAGCGTCTCAGATTCCTTGAGAATGTGGTATTTGGCTATTTGTCCTAATGCCATTGATTCAGACGTTGTACTCGTATTCTCTATTTCTTAGACTTACCAGTGACAGAAACCACTGATGAAAGTCACAAGAAACTGTTCTGGTTAAACCTAGATTCCTCGAGAAAGATCGAAATTTACAGTCCAGCGAAAGGTTTCTCAAGCGAACGCGTGCACATCCACAGTACTTTGAAAAGTTGCTGTTGCTGATACACCAGAACAACTAAAGCTTCATTCTTCCTTTTGTGTGACAAGTGTACTACTGCATGTATTTGTGAGTGTTCCTCGATGCCTGCTACGCTGTGAATAGTCCTGTCTAGTCCTTTGATACAAGGCCGTCATGGCTGCCTCTCTACCTTTTTTTCCACCACAGATCAAATCCTCAGTCGCAAAGGCTGTGTTCTGGTGCACTGCTTAGCAGGAAAGTCTCGCTCTCCGACGATAGTCCTCGCCTACATCATGCGCACGAAGAAGTGGGGCTTCGACAAGGCTTACGACTTCGTGAAGGAACGAAGGAGGAACATTGAACCCAACATGGGTTTCTTGTCTCAGCTGATGAAGTTCGAGGCCGACATGGTGAGTGATGGAATTCTACTGGAGCGCCAAAGGAGTGATGCGGACACGGGTTCGTCAACAGTGTCCAAGTCAACGAATAACAGTGTGCCGACGTCGTCTCATGAAACAAGTGCCGAGTCTCCCTGTCCGAAGACCCAGGCCACCCAATCCTAGTCAACGCTCGCGTGTACTGCTCACTGAACATGCTTGCCATGAAGAGCAGTGAGTCTCCACGTATATGTGGGTGCATGTGTGTGTGCATGTGTCTAATACCAACTCGTGCCAATATTGAATGATACTTGCAATGCTGCCATCAGTGCAGCAGTTCCTGCTAGAGAGTGTGTGTTGGATGGTTGAGTAGCACGCCACTGCTCTGGACTCTTCACTTCCAGGAATGACAGTCATCCGCGGGTCCGGCGCTTTGGCTATGATGACGGAGGCTCTTCCGCTGCGACTGATTTCTGCTCGTACAAGCTATAATCTGACTTTGTCACATGATTTTGTCGTTTCGTTTTTAACCTCAAGGCGTTCATAGTGTTTGTTTGCCAACTAGAACTATTGTCGACATAGGAATGGCAGTGCGAACCTAACGTGCATTGTAATGTTGTTTCTATCTCCTGTTTAAACCGGCATTGCATCTACACGCACACACACGCACGCAGGCACGCGCACACATACACACACACAAACTCACTCACGCACTCACTCTAGCGCACTCTTTGTCTCTCTCTCTCTCACTCTGTGTGTGTCCTGTTCCTCTTCTCCCTCTCTGTGGGTGTTATTGTGTGGCGGACACCGGACCTTGATGAGCTTTCTTTCTTGCAGTCTGCCTGATGTGCTCGGGCGTGCATGCTTCTATATGCACATTCAACTCTCCTTCACATCACTTGGCACCTCTTTTTTCTTTTTTTTTACTTTGAAGTAAAATATTTTTTTAGATGGATATTGATTTCTGTTTGCCCGTAAATGTTGATAATCTATTCAACTGGATTGGATATGGACTGCGCGTGTTGACCACTTTACTTTAGTAATGATCCTTTTTGGCTGGGTGTGTTTTCCCTTTGTTTACTTTCGAATCTTGATGATTATTTGTTTCTCCTGTACCCGAGGGCAATTCTCAGTCCCCAAACCTATTCTCCTGCATACTTTGTTAGCTCCTGATCAACCTCGCTGTTCAGTGTAGTTATGCTACCAACCCTCAATGCGTTTCATTCTTTTTCTTTTCTTTTTTAAATGCCCCACACCCACTGCATTGCTTTAGATCTCACGGACAGTGTTCTTTTAGGCTTTCATCATTATGCCCAGTCTCATTTTTTTTTCAACCAGAAAAAAAGCATTGAATAGTTTCGCACACTTGCCACACCGCCGCCTTGCAGTTTTTTTAGCCACGCTGATTGTTGCAATCTGAATTAGCGGATAGCTAGTCTGTGATATTTATGTAATGATAAGGTGCATTGCAAGGTCGAATCTCTGTTGAACATGGTGCACGTACTTGTGTGGGTGGGTGTACACTACATGCGCCTCCCTACCAGTACTGGTATTATTATCTTCTTCGGAAGATGATTAAATTGTATGCTGCTACGAATATAATCATACACTGTGCATGCATTATTGTAATGTACTCGGGATACTACATACTACAGCCGTAGTGTGCTACGGACAGGTTTACACCGTACACTTGTGCCATGCTTGTATAGGAGGCTGGCTGCAACCAAATGCCAATTACGAAAGCACGTTTCATTGGACATTGGACCAGTCCACTCTGCTGCACAAGCTAACAGACTGGAAAGTCTTTCGTCATTTTCGCCTCGTGCGGGGACCGTGAACCGTACATGGCGGCACCTACACCAGCTCCTTTTGTACAGTCTCTTGGTCATGACCAGCACACACAGGTATACGTATTAGTTGAAACAATACGAGTAGAAGGAGTCCAATACTGAATGAAAGTAAACAGACCAAGGACGGGGGACAGACACACAAATACAATGTACCAGCGGCTGATGTTGCCGACATGCGACATTCTCACACGGGCCGCAGCGCATGGAGCCAACGCCAAAGATCACAATCATGTGTGCGTGTAGCTACTTGTACAAATATTATAAATATATACCGTTTTTTAAAGATAACTCAAGTTTTAAACAGCTTTCCAAAGAAATAGAGATAAAATATGCAGTATGCTGAATGAATAGTCCTTTAGGAAACCAGTACCGGTTTTGTACAATGTAGCTACGAAGTGAACCACGAGTGCTGGATAGTGGTGCTAGATGAATTCAGATCTGTAATGAATACGGTGGCTGAGTGCGCTGCTCCAGCACAGGGGGTCAGCAGTCGCAGTGTGTTATTGGTTAGCATCCTACCAGCTTATCTATAAACGAGATCAGACTTCATGGAGTGCTACTGGGTGCGCATGTGTGTGTGTGTGTGTGTGTGTGTGTGTGTGTGTGTGTGTGTGTGTGTGTGTGTTGGACGTTTCGAAAGCATTGACGTATTTGTATGGATTCAACGCGTATAAGGTCTGATGTCTGGCAGGCAGCAGGTGAGGTTGTTGACATTCTCTCGCGGGGCGGAGTGCATTGAGCCAGCACCAACGATAATATGTGTAGCTACAAGGTCAGGAGGAGAAGCCGCGCAGGCAAGCATGCCGCCGCCGATCGAGAGCTACTGCAGCTTAGAAGTTACTGATGTGCCACTGCGGAGCGCACTCTGGGTTTGTGCCACCCATGCTGTTCACTATCACCAAGTTATCATGCAGTGAGCTAGCAGCTAGTAGCTCCAGGCCGAGTGCCCAGTGCGTGCTGGCCGCATGAATCCCTGTCAACTCCCAGACATAGTCAGTGTAGCAACTAATACTTGCAGTTACTTATGCCATGTTAACGTATGTATAGTTTGATTTATAGTGCATGAACAGCACGCCGTCCCTGAAGTAGAAGCTGTCGGCACGCACTCTCTTTGGATTCGCAATGATCTTCTGCCTGAGATCGTCGCTGATTTCTGGTGTGTCATACGTGATGGACGCCGTGTTGATGCTTCCAGGTATGCAGAATCCAAACGAGAAGCGTAGGTCCTTCAGCATTACGTCCTCATAGAAGAAGCGCTCGATCATGTAGAAATCTTGTATCTCCTCAGTGGCTTTGAACTCGGTGTATGCAGTACACATGGCACCCAGGGAGCTGGCTGGCAGAATGTACACTACTTCACTTGCCGCACTGACTTCATCATCACCGCCCAGATCCGAGCCGGCCTCGTCTACTGATTCGCCCATCTCGCTACTATCATCCTCTACCAGGCACTGGTCAAACAGCACCTCTCCATCCGACTCACCTATCGTCACCTTCAACCGTCTGAAGCGAATTGGTGCGCTCTTTGCTGGGTTCATCAGAAAGTCGCTTGTTGCGCGGTCCAGTTGGAGCACATCATCGATACATATTGTGCCGACGGCGTGCGCTTTCTCGCGAAGCACCCGCTCCTTGGCGCTGGCTTCGCCAACAATAGCTAGCTGGTTGACATTGGAGTCGGCGGCAGCTTGTCGTGCGACGAATCCGCGACCGGCTGGCTTGCTGCTGGATGACTTACTGCTACTAGACTTGGACTTAGACGATCCAGGCGTCTTGCGCCCAGCATCTCTGCCTGATCCACTAGACATGCTGCCAGATAGATCTAGATCCGAGGAAGGGCCAGAAAAATATTTTCTACAGGAGCGAAATGCTCGCTACAAGTACAAACACTTCTTGCTGACTCGATGACAGCTAGAGTGCCGCTGCTTTACCGGCCTGTCCCTGAGCTTGTTTCTGCGACGTGTCTACCTTGTAGTACCCGTGGTGGGCAAACCTCCGTTTCTAAACTGTCGATCTTCAACGAAGCAGTTCTGTAAAGTCTGTATGGATTGTGGTGAAAATTGATCTCTTATTATTTTTACGGTTCAAAATCTACACCGACCGTGCATAGCGTAGGCGAGATCTACCCCAATCACAGCGAGGAGAAGATGCAGAAAAGCATGGACTTGCGAAAGAAAGTGGAAACTAGCACTACTATTGTAGGATACTGAGTACTAGTAGTACAATGTAGTAGCTAGGCGTACGGCACAGGTTCATCCCTGCTAATAATGACTATGTACGAAGTAGAGGTATCCTCACACCCACAGTCGAGTCAGTCACTGCTTGCAGTCGAGTCGTCTGTCTTTGCAAGCTCTTGCTACAATCATTCGTACGTCGTAGATACTCGAAAGACAAACGACTCAGCTAGGTTGACTGCTGAATGTCATTTTTAAATTTAGCGCCGCGCTGGGTCATGTCATAATAAAGTGTCATGGTGACAGTGACATGCATATTTATTTGATTACATGTATTATTCTGTGCTTGGACCAGCATATGCGCATATGCATGCATGCAGTGCATACGAATCTCACACATGTATAATTAATATTTTCTCGATTTCTTCACTTGTAAGCAGGGAGTCGTAAAATACGACTCCCTGCTTGTAAGTAAGGTGTACATGTATTGCATACAAAATGAATTATTAAATTCAAAAAATTCAATGTTTTCGTTTTTATACACCAGTAGCGGACTGACTGAATACAGAATAGGGACAAAGACATTAGTAACGACAGACTACAGCCATAATTTTCACACAAAAGAAGGAGGACAAAATGTTACGAGTTATGACTAACTGTCCACCAACGTAACCAGGTCTTATACAGTCAGCAGATACGATCTGGTTACGTTGGTGGACAGTCATAACTCGTAACATGCCAGAACCTTTCAAAGGACTCTGCACTGAAACCTACAAGAATACGAGAAAGTGACAATTCCAAAACAATATGAATGGAATTAAAAATGATCGTGGGAAGGCCTCTTTTACGGGCAAAGCAAAGCACAATTATCACCATGACATGGTGATGATTGTGCTTTGCTTTGCCCTGTATCAGTACAGTGAATAGGTAAACCCAACACGAATGAAAAATGAGAAATGGAATAAAAACAAAATTTGCAAAAAAAATAAAAAAGAATTAAAACGGATGATGCCTAAATAGAACAGGTCGGTGTCAACACGATGATATGATTGGCATAGCCGTCCCCGGCTCAGTCATTGCCAACTGGCACAACGCGGTTGATGGGACGATGATGATGATGATGATGATGATGAGCTGTTCATGCTTCACTAATGCATACAATTGTCACAGCGCAGCGGACAGGTAACACTTGGCATATGCATCACCTAACTGTACGGCTTAGGGCCAGGTTCCACTGCGGCTCCGCTGCTCGTCTTTCGCGGCTTGAAACGTCATCATTACCATAGTGACCCCGGCTCGAGCTGGAGCAGCGAGTCCGCGGCTCACCGCGAGCTTTTGCTACGATTCTTCACCAAAAACTGCGAGCCGCGGTTGCGGCTCGACCTGTTTCCCGTACTTTGCATTGTTTTGTACGCCAGAATTTTAAAATTCAAATTTTAATTCGTTGCGCATGCCAGAACACGAGGATTTTTTTGATTTCGTGTGCGCAGGCAGGTGAAACGTCATCAAAAAGTGTGGAGCACGACCACGGTACCGCGAATGGCGAGTGTCAGTGGAACCGCGCTGCTCCGCTGCATGCAGCCAAGTGCCGCGGAGCAGCGGAGCCGCAGTGGAACCCGGCCCTTATCATAATGCTGTGTGCCAACATTCGATTCGCTACAGACTACACAAGTGTACTACCGGTACATGCGTTATTGATAAAATGATAATATGATAAAAACAACAACAACAAAATACTGTAAGTCGACAAATTTTCGGCCCATTCAAATTTCGGCCTCCCAGGGCTAAACCACATTTCGGCTGCAACAAATTTTCGGCCTGTACGGCTGCCGCCTGTATAAATTTCGGCCTCCCCGGGTTAAAACATATTTCGGCCTGTACTGCTGCTGCCTGTATACACTGTCACACTGAACCTTGCAAAACAAATTTTCAGCTGCAACACATTTTCGGCCAAATATGATCAGGTCGAAAATAGCCGAAAATAGATATGCGCTGAATATTTGTTGACTTAAAGTACTCTACAGTGGCCAGTGGAATGGGCCATACTCTCAATGGGCCATACTCTCAATGGGCCATACTCTCAATGTACCATACTCTCAATGGGCCATACTCTCAATGGGCCATACTCTCGGGTATAGCACCACATTTCCCCCAGTACACACCAAACTGTTTTCTGATGATCGCTTAGTGCGTGAAACTCGGAGTAAAACACTTTCTCTGTCCTCCTATTGTTTGAACCAGCTCTACCACTCGGTATTGAGCACTCTCTTGGACAGCCTGGAACCTCTCTGTTTTACATGTACACACCAAACTACATGGGAGTGCTATAGGATATGCACAGCTTCTGTGTTCATACCAGCGTTACACTGCTAGACCGTGCAAAGGATAATGTTTATTTATACAGTTTTCTACTCTCGAGTCAATCCAGGCTAAGAGAGTGCGACGCTGTAGCAGCGAGTACCAAACCCCGTTTATCGATGGTGGATAGAGAGTAGGGGTCAAACGGGTGTACCTTTAACTAACGAACGGGTAATTTTCTTAACGGGTGGGTTAACGGGTACCCTTTAGCAGCCATGTTTTTTTTGTGTGCAATTTTCGCATAAATCAAGATATAATCTATCTGTTCTCGGGTTGTATTTTGATATCACAATGTGATTCGCAAATTGATTGGTGTCTGATAGTCGCAGAGGTAGATCTACTAGGTGCGAAAATGCAACAACAATGCAGACATCCAGCGTGGAGTTAATAATAACTCCCGCCTGGAATACACGATCCCTGCAGTGTTGCTCCATACTGACTGGTTCATCAAAATCCAAACGGGTACCCTTTTACTAACGGTACCTGAGATTATCGGGCGGGTACCCGGGTAACCGGTACACCCCTTTGACCCCTAATAGAGAGTGTCCTGCTAAACCCTAGCAGACGGAGTGTGTGTGTGTGTGTGGGGGGGGGGGGGGGGGGTGCAGGGCAGCTGTTACATGGCCATGTGATGGAGACTCGCACCCTTTGTGCCCTGGCTTGTCATTACGAGGTCCACATCCGTATCCTCCGCCACTTGCGTAAAGCAGGCACGAGAGCAGCTCACAATACGAAGGCTCTAGCGCAAATGTGGCGGGTTTGGAACCAGAACAAGAGAAGCCAAATAAACTTGAGTTTTCAAAGATTGATGGATAGCTACACGGGTTCACCAGTGACTCAAACACCACAGCAAAACAATTTCAAGCTGGAAAGCTCATTTTGGTTATTGATTAAAACCATTTGCTCATTAAAAAAAAAATAGGGAATAAAAATCAAGGTTCAACCCTTCGGATCACGTGTAGTGCTTCGCCAGTACACAACACAATTAGTACTGAAGTTCATATACGCACAGGCACACACACATGGACAGATACCACTAAAAACGTACTTGAAGAAGTAGACCAGTACCAAGACTCAGCAGTAGCAGCGTAAGCAACGACAGTGTCGGCTATAGGTTGTAGCTATGGTTGTACCTAAGTTGTAGCTATGGAGAAAGGCAGCAGTGCTTACCTAGCCCGGAAGAGACAGCAAGAGAAGCGTTATAAGCAGTGCGAGCTGAGAAAATACAGTGGGGTTATTTCAGCCGGTGCGATGGTGTCGGCCAGAACGGAAGCTCTCCCACTACTAGCTGGCGTCCATGTCTTCGCAACTCATTTGGCAATCCCACAGATCATCCTCAGGCTCAATGACGACAGTACCACCACTAACATCATGCAAACAGAAAACACACACAAGGAAAAGCAGAGCGACATCGCACACAAGGAACAGCAGAGCGACATCACACACAAGGAACAGCAGAGCGACGTCGCACACAAGGAACAGCAGAGCGACGTCGCACACAAGGAACAGCAGAACGACATCGCACACAAGGAACAGCAGAGCGACGTCGCACACAAGGAACAGCAGAGCGACGTCGCACACAAGGAACAGCAGAGCGACGTCGCACACAAGGAACAGCAGAGCGACGTCGCACACAAGGAACAGCAGAGCGACGTCGCACACAAGGAACAGCAGAGCGACGTCGCACACAAGGAACAGCAGAGCGACGTCGCACACAAGGAACAGCAGAGCGACGTCGCACACAAGGAACAGCAGAGCGACGTCGCACACAAGGAACAGCAGAGCGACGTCGCACACAAGGAACAGCAGAGCGACGTCGCACACAAGGAACAGCAGAGCGACATCGCACACAAGGAACAGCAGAGCGACATCGCACACAAGGAACAGTAGAGCGACATCGGACAAAAACCAGGAACAGTAGAGCGACATCGCACACGGCAACAATCAGCATGCATCGATGCAATGGTCTTTCTCATGCCAAGTTCAAATCAAGCACTGCTGCAAGTGACACCACTAGTACACACCAAAAATGTAGCTACTGTAAAGCGATAAAGTGTCGCGACACGCAATGTTTGCGTTTTCATGAATTGAGCTGGTTCACGATGAGAAACTTTGGCGATTTTATCTCTTCAGTTGGATCTATTACTGTCTATAATCAATGTACAGAGCAGTTTGCGGCGATTTATATTCACAGATGTGTGATGGTCGCGAAAATAGTGAAATTTAATCTCTAGCGAAAGTTTCTCACTTTACAGTAACTGACAACCACAAACGTATAACCCACATGCATATACTTGTACAACATTCACTTACACGACTTGCATATTCGACACGTCCATTCCGTCGGTAACTTCAGTAATTGTCGGTCCCTGCAATAACACAACACAGGTGAACAAAATATCCCCAGTGAAGCGCACTGTAGTTTCAAATCTAGCCGTGGAACTTGCAGCAAATTTATGAATCATGATCACCTGCACCAAGCACCCAGGTACGCCCCGCTACCCAGTACAAACTGTCCATTCTATAAGACGCACGACTGCATTCCGATTGCCAGCTTCGGCTGCATCGTCAGCATGAGCCAGGCCTGCAGCTACAGCTTCGACAGCCATAACGCCGGTCGGGGGAATCCCCTCCAGATGTGAACACAACAATACTGCAAGCCGCCCAATATTCCCGTCACTAAATTTTCGCGATCTCTCGGAGCCAGCGGATTTACGATGGAAAATGTTCGCGGAGCACTGTGGCCACACACATACATCCACTGTTGAAGTTTGATTTCACGATGGTTAATATCCGCGTTATGTTGAACATGCGAACTTGAGGCAGTTTACAGTAATGGGTACTGCATGGTCTCAGCTCTACGAACACCGAACAGTGTGAGCTGTGCACTAGCAAACAGAGCTGCTTCAGTCACGTGTATGAACTCCAGTGGCCAACCATGCAGCACCAGCAGCAGACTACATGCACAGTAAAACCTGTCAAGGCGATCACTCGGATAAGGCGACCACCTGTCCCAGAAGACCACTGGAACCACGACCAAGGGATGCTATTTCCAGTCAACTGACCTTGGATAAGGAGACCACTGTCCTGGTAACAGAGACCACATTTTGAAGGTCCCTTGAGCGGTCGTCTTACACAGGTTTCACTGTACAAGCATCATCCAGCAGCATACAGGACAGTATTGCCAGATAATGTATCACACATGCGTCACGTGACCATGGAGTCCCCCATACCTTTGGCTTATTGACGTCATGTAGTACTTTCTGCACGAAATCTTCAGGCGGTTTCCACACCATTAGCTGTCGACACTGTGGATGGGATCTGACATGGGTTGGCAGCAACGCAGAAGACAGAGCGGCAACATTGCACAGCCATCAGAACGTACCCCATGCCCAGTGCATGCTCATGCATATCGTACTCACTTTATTTTTTCATTGCCAATTTTCAGGAGGCTTCCATTAAAGAGGGGCTTTTATTATTTCAATCCATACCAGTATTCCAATCGAATCTCTAAAACGTTTATATCCGAAGCAACTCGACCCCGAGTTAGTTCACACACACACTGCGTTGACCTGGACATGTACATTGTACTGGTATGTGCATGCATGTACATGCACGATATGTATTTGTATCCCCCTGACATTACCATACATGGCACTACATGGTCACCCCATCCTTTGCAAATAGTAGCCCGGGCTTCTATTCGAGAGGAGCTTGAATTTTTTCAAACGGTTGTTGCAAGGGGGCTATTATTCAAGAGGGGCTTTATTGGAGAGGAGCTTCTAATCGAGTGAGTACGGTGTACACATTATCATTGCACGTCTACCCTGGCACCAGTCAAACAATGCTTGTGAACATGTACCCTATGCCCAATGGCCCACTATGAATATTCCCATGAATAGCAGCCAAACATAGCATGGCATATCTGTAAATTGATGTGCATTGTACATGGCAGCGGATGGAAGCTGGATACTATACAAGACTACAGACAGAATCACGTATTCATGGGAAGAGATATACCTGGCACATTGACTAAGACAGGGAGAGAGAGAGAGAGAGAGAGAGAGAGAGAGAGAGAGAGAGAGAGAGAGAGAGAGAGAGAGAGAGAGAGAGAGAGAGAGAGATGGAGAGAGAGAGAGGGAGAGAGAGAGAGCGATAGAGAGATAAATAGAAAGGACAGGGTCACAGCCGCTTCACACAGGATATTTAGTACAATGTGCCCTCCACTCACATGGACTGCACGAGCTTATCCTGAATCTGTGTGTTGAGTCGTTCCGCGTTTTTAAGGCCTTTCATGAGCGTCGAGGACAGCTCCACTACAGGGCCACTGCGAGTTGAAGAACAGCACACAAAACGAGCTAGGGAAATGAGACGCAAAACTAAAGTAAACAGTAAGCACTCTAGTTAGGAAACGTGGGCTCTGGGTCAACATCATTGGGTTCAGATGAGGATGGTGAGAAAAGGCATGGCCAGAGGGGAGGCAAACCCATGAAAGATAATACTCTACAGTAAAACCTATTTCCAAATAGGACATAAAAGTCTCTACTTCATAGACAAGGTACTCTACATCCAATGTCAATTGAATACAACAGGATATGCAAAGGCCCCAAACGTGTATTTTATATCCGCTGCAAAGAGAAAAGTGCTGGTATGCATACATACAAGGGTACTAGTGCTACTTCACACTGACTGTGCTTGAAGTCCGGTGAGAACCGCAAGTGATACACGGAGCAGCACGTTCTCTGCACCCTGTCCTAATCTGTGCACATGCCCCCCCCCCCCCTCCCCATAATGATACACACACAGGCATCACTGCCACGTCACGCTATGCGCGGTCGTGTTAACACAGCCAGTGTTGAGCAACCGACGAAAAAAAAAAAAAAACCCGCAAAGGTGACATGCACCCGACGGCTACGTAGCCTCTTCACATTGTGTAATGAAATCTACTAGCAAACCTACTCTGGCTGTACGTCATCCGGCTCTGGATCATCCATGGACGTCACATTGTATTGGGTGCTGCAAATGATCACAAACAAGCACAAATAAAATAATACTCCCACGCATGTACAAGGCACATTGATACTGATACTTCGGAACAACGCCATGATATAATTCACACAATTACTGTATAGACCGGCCAGGTCTTTGCTGATGTGCATGTACTGAAGTACATGTACATGTAAAATAAGATTCCAAGATGACCAGCAAAACGACTCAGTAGAAAGCGGCACCGACAGCAAAGCAGAAACGATCCACGCGGAGTTGGTGCACAGCAAAGCACTGCCACAATTCATGTTGTGTGTGCTTCCCTTGCTGCAGCTCATGTTTGCCGTTTAAGTGGTCTTTGTAAAATAAAATAAAAAGTCATACCATTCCGTCGGCATCTCTTCTTCCACGATGGAGGTCTTCTTGCAGCGGCGTCTCATCCTGGCACAGCCGCCGCCGGATGCGGATGCGGCGGCGGCCACCGGCTGCTGACGATGCGTCGTGTCGCCCACGCACAGCTGACCGGATGCACTGGCCACGGAGCAGCATGACCGCGCCACGGGCACGTGTGTCGTGTACTGTATCGGCTCGACTTGGTTACATTGGCGCGGTGAGTCGAGATGCAGGTCGACCATCTGCGCCGTGATGCGTTCCGGCGTGGCACTCTGCTTTGAGTGCCGATACTCTTGACTGTACACAGATCCACCATTGGCACGAAACAAGGAAAAACCCACTGAGCGAACAGTTATTAATGCTGAAGGGATATGCAATACTCAAAACAAGGAAATGTTCAAAGAAAGGACAGAGCTGTCACCTTGAATCTTTCAGACCCAGCCCAGTTCGTCACTTTCAGTCAGCAGTGCTTCTGCAACTGGCATGCACACAGACAGTGGAGGTCAAGACTTCGGCTATGTGTATGTGAGGATACTAAGTAGTAACCATGGTAACTGTGATTCTTTAAAGCATACGAGTACATGTACATGTAGCTTAAAAGTTACTCGTATGCTTGAAAGAATCATTCTAGTCGTTTGTTCTACCATAATTACATAGCAGTGTACAGTACTGTAGGTCGCCGAAGAACTGGGGCTCAGCCTAGTAGCCTAGGCCGTTCTTATTCTCATGTACAACACAACAGTCTATGCACAGTTGAGCTACCGTGTATTCAATGATATGCTGTACTTGGTGAAATTCTAGCCTGTTCGTTCTTCGGCGCCCGACACTACTGTATTAAATCCAGGTACATGTAGTGGTAGCGGGCTGAAACACGGAGAACCAGGCCAAAGCCACGTGCTGATGATGTGTTTGCATGCAGTGGTGTGCGGTGTGTTGGGAATCGTGTGAAAGAAAGCTATACTATAGGCCGGGCCATAGGATGGCTACACCTGCATTTGTTCAAACTGTAAGTTTAACTGCGAGTGTGGTCGACAGTGCGGCTCACTGGAATTAGCAATTTTGCCGCAACCGTGCATGCATGCATGTGTGTGTGTGTGTGTGTGTGTGTGTGTGTGCATGTTCGCGAGCGTGCGCGTATGTGTGTACATGTGTGCGCGTGCGTCTGTATGTATACCTTTCACATTATTGTCAGCGACTGCATGATGATGAAACGCAAATTTATTGCGTTTCTAACAACTCACGTAGAAATGAGAGTGTGCGTATCTGATATACTAATACATGTATCACATTCTGTAAGAACATGAACCAACTACATGATTGTACTTTCATTCAAAAGATTTATGATGTAGTGGTTACCCAGCCAGCAAGATAAGTCTCACATGAAGACAGCAGCATTACATGCATATCCAGGGGTATGACTCATACGCCATGCAAGTCAACATGACGTCCCTAAAGCCTAGCAAGGCCATCTGTAGTATGTCGCTAGTGAACGCTGCATACAACATGTACAAACGAGGGGATAGCAAGAATAAGAAAAACTAACTAATTACTTACTCGAGCACATCGAATGGGTCGCGAGGTCTCTTTCCTGGACGAAACTCCATCATCATTCACATCAGATCCTTTCCTCTGGCCTCAACTAAGACATTGAAGTTCTCACGAGCTGCGTAAACGACCAGAGTGGGCTTTACAGAAGTAGAGGTGCACGAAAACTCTAGGTTGTTCTGCAAGATTCTCGAAGGACCATTGACACCACCGCTGCATGATCATACTTCATAGACTGTCCAAGAACGCATATTCAGCGCCAGTCATCATGACTTTTTCTATTTTGAATGACTCGATATATTTTTTCAGAAAAAGGCTTCATTCTACAATTTCTGACTATTTTTATTACACAATTTACAGTGCTTCACCTAGCTCGTCAGCAGCAGCTGTGGCCAGACATTGGAGAAGTCTTCTCAAGCTTGATGTTTTATTTCATTGTGTATTGCTTCATGTAGTTTTTCTAGAGCAGTGTGCATTGATTCATGATGTGGCTGTTGAGGCAGCGAAGTAGCTGCTCTGCCCTGCTTGCTGCTCGTGGGCAAATCTTCTCCACCAGTGTTCGAAATGGATCATCGACATCCCAGAAATCACCTTCTGTGGGAATTCTGCGCGAGGAGAGTCAAGTATGGGAGAGGCGAGCGGTTCTGGCCCCGCACCATGTGCAGGCTCTGGTGAAGAAAGGAGTTCGGGTGGTTGTGCAGCCATCGACAAGACGTGCATATTCCATGTATGAATACGAAACAGTGGGGGCAGAGCTCCATGAAGACCTGAGTGGCTGTGACGTCATCCTGGGCGTCAGGTCACCTAACCCGGAAACTTTGATTCCGCACAAGACTTATGCATTCTTCTCGCACACGATCAAGGCCCAAGAAGCCGGCATGCCTTTGCTGGATACATGCATACATAAGGTTAGAATGCAATCCTAGGTAGCATCCGTAGGATGTACTGCGCAAAGCAGAATAGCCACACAGCCATTACACATAGACTATCGTAGAGGTCTGTAAATAAGTAAATGAAGTACATATGCACCATATTCTCCGGGGTATAAGCCGCACTTTGAACACTCAAAATTCATCCAAAAAAAGCCGATGCAGCTTATACTACGATGGTCAAATGAACCATGATACTAGTAAACGGGGTAGATGTCTGTATTGTGGGACAAAAATCTGGGTGTGGGTTGTATTTTAGTGGGGCTTATACTCCAGTGGGGCTTAAACTCCAGTGGGGCTTAAACTCCAGTGGGGCTTAAACTCCAGTGTGGCTTGTACTCCAGTGGGGCTTGTACTCCAGTGGGGCTTGTACTCCAGTGGGGCTTGTACTCCAGTGGGGCTTATACTCCAGTGGGGCTTATACTCCAGTGGGGCTTATACTCCAGTGGGGCTTATACTCCAGTGGGGCTTATACTCCAGTGGGGCTTATACTCCAGTGGGGCTTATACTCCAGTGGGGCTTATACTCCAGTGGGGCTTAAACTCCGGAAAACACGGTGCATGTACATATTTTTTAATTTAGTCCCACCTGTACCAGCTTTTGGGTGGGTACTAACTTTCGGGCATGAACGAACTTTTGGACATTGCTTGGCGCTGTGGAGAATTTGTTTTTCTCTTACGCATGCCGTAGTAAGACTGGCTTGTTTGTGACTGCCTTGTTTATGTACAGCACATCCGTCTACTTGATTACGAGAAGATTGTTGATGGAACTGGCAAGAGGGTAGTAGCTTTTGGTCACTATGCTGGTGCTGCGGGTTAGTAATTTCTCTTCCTTGTGCTCTCTCCTTCTCATACCTGTCGTCTCTCTCTCTCTCTCTCTCTCTCTCTCTCTCTCTCTCTCTCTCTCTCTCTCTCTCTCTCTCTCTCTCTCTCTCTCTCTCTCTCTCTCTCTCTCTCTCTCTCTCTCTCTCCCCCAATCACTAGCAATTACTAGTGGCCAGGGTGCATGGCTCCCAAGTGTGTGAACCTCCAGTCAGACTATGGGGTCTGCCGCGTCAGAACTCCACATCAAGTGACAAACTCATGTACACCATCTGCACCCTATGTATAATAGCCACTTAGTTGTACACAGTCCTGCTTTGATTAGAACTCTCAGTGATCACTCTGTACTCTTGCCAGTGTACCCTTTTGAAGCATATCGCGATGTGCAACTCTGCCATTGCAGCACTGGATAGAAATGTACAGGCAGTTACACAGTGACAGTCTTGGGGTTTGTACTCTAGCTAGTAGGCACATCAGGTTTAGCACTATTAGCAATGTTTAACTTTACAGCGAACTCCATTATCACCTGAAGCTGGTTGTTCCAACGAGGAACACATGCTTCTTGCCGAACTTGACACTTGACTGACTCACGACTGCCATCCGGAGCACACGAGGAGCACGTTGTTGTTCGTTGGAACAGCCAACTTCATGACGAATACCGCCGAAGTCGCAACTTCTAGGTTATTACCTGTGGGCATTTTGCTTTTCAATCACATGACCCCAACCTTTTTTTGCGATGTTGCTGCTCTTGTATTGAATGTTTGTGTGTGTGTGTGTGTGTGTGTGTGTGTGTGTGTGTGTGTGTGTGTGTGTGTGTGTGTGTGTGTGTGTGTGTGTGTGTGTGTGTGTGTAGCAATATTCTCATATGAGTTTGTTCCTGTATTTCTGCCTTGCAGGTATGGTGAATATCCTTCATGGTCTCGGACTGCGCCTGCTTGCTCTGGGCCATCATACTCCCTTTATGGTGGGTAATGTGCCTTGCCTTGTTTTTGCTGTTTTATCCGAAACCTGGGATGTAATCACAGAGCAACGGCGCTTGGGTGGTCGTGTTTATTCGTGATGTGGCTTGTGACCGTGTAGCCGCAGTCGAGTATTGGCCTCACACTCATGTGCTCAGATATAACAGCTCAGGTAACCTGTGCAGGATCATGTGCTGCTCAGGTGTTCGTATAGCCGCTGAATAGCACCGCTTGCTGGTTTCAGATCTGTACCGTCAGGGTGGTGAGTTGGGATAAAACTACCTGTGTGCTATATTCTAAAACAGATCTGGTCCCGGGCGTGTGTCCTGACGGGGTCGGTCAATGTTTTCTCCTGACTTGTTCCCTTTTCAACTCACTCGAATTACTACAGTGTGTTTCAAAAGTACAGATCTATAGTTTAAAAAACCCACATTAGGCTTGCATCTATACAGGTACCACATAAAATCAGATTAAAAAAATCTGTGACTGAATATGTGATCATTTGGTTCATAAAAATTCCGAAATTGGGCGTTTTTTTCCAAAATCGCTTAGAATTTTTTAGTTTGAGCTTTTAAGAAATTTCTTCGGGATATTGCTCAGGCAGTTCCCCCAATTTTGCTCATATAGATTTGAATTTTTTTTGAAAAGTCTAGAGGTCAATAATACTTTTGCAACGCACTGTAGGGATTACAGAGAAGGAGTGCACTCTAAATATGTAATGCAGTGCACTCTGGTGTTTCATCCTCTGTTTAATCCAAGGCTGTTTTGCTTTGCTTGTTATGTTGACTGTGCTACAGCACCTTGGTGGAGCTCACAACTATCCCGGAAGCAGCGCCGCCAAGGCGGCCATTGCCAATATTGGGCGAGAAATTGAGTACGGCCTGATGCCTGAAGTGTTGGGACCAATGATCTTCGTCATCTGCGGTGATGGTGGCGTGTCCAAGGTCAGCTAATATGTGTCTTTCAGAGCACTTTGAATTTGCTTGCATAGGCAATAGGTACTAAGTCTTGTAACGTATGGCCCAGTTTCAGCGAGAATCGACCTTGGGGTGAAAATCATTTTTGGCGGAAAACATCATTTTCTGCATAGGCAAACAATCTCTTGCTTCACTGTGAACATGCAAGATAATCGCGGCAATGGAAGCTTTCATCCAAGGAGAGTTTGCTCACGATGGCCAGCTGCCACCCAGCTCTGCCAGAACTCATTGGACTTCCTACGTGTGGTGGCATGCATGGAGTTCCTATTTCAAGCAGCATTTTCAGACCAGTCAAATACCTATTTTGTGTTAAACATATTCTGTGTTTCAAGTAATTTTGTTGCCAAGCCCGCGCGAGTGTGCGTGCATGCTGGTCCGATCCACTCCATTGGATGATGATAGCATACTGATAGCTCAGACTGGGCCTCCAGGTGTAGACATAACCCCCCCCTGCTCTGCACTTCTGTGGATTATTATCAGCAGACTCGGGATGGCTTTCAAGCAGTTTCCACCGGTCTGCAGTGATATAGGTCGAGGCCATGTTTGTTCTATGCCAGAGGTTGTTTTACAATAAAACACCAGATGGCTTCATTACAAATATATATATAGTACACACTGCCTTTTGTGCCACATCATACTGTCGATTCCACTTATAACAAACTCGCATATAGCGAATTTCGTTATATAACCATTGTCCATGTCCCTGTTTGAACCCATACGAAATTGACCCTTTATGGCGAACAGTTTTCGTTTGTAACGAACCAGGTCTTGTGGGGGCTGCATGTACACCAAGTGCACTCATACTGCCATGGGCCACATATCAGTCAATGGTACCAGAGAGCGAAGCACTATGTTTGCAAGTAAGTTTGCAAGTGAGTTTGCGAAGCTCATTCTTAAAAACAATTAATAGAAACAACGACTTTGATGTGGTCTTTGCAGGAAGAATAATTTTGTTTGGGCGCCTCCCACTCTGCATACCGTATTATCTCTAATATAAGCACGTCCTTTATTTTTTCAATGTACCTCCGACCCGTGCTATTAATGGAGACGTTCCTTTATTGGAGACTGTTCCATTATTATTTCAACCTCATTTCAGAGGCATGTTGCCATGCCAAATTCGTGTATGACACACACATTTCAGGGTTTTTTTTCGCCGGTACAGATAATGAATTTACACAGTGTGCTTATAATGGAGACTGAGCACTTTATTTTTTGAATGCCGCCCCAAGGTGTTCTATTATTGGAGACGTGCTATTATTGGAGACTGTGCTTATATTAGAGATAATACGGTAATATTGAAATTGAACTTGAACAAAGCTAGGCAACTTCGGTACCTGAAAATGAAATTTGTGCATGGTAACTAAGCTTATAAACTGCCTGCACTAAAGAAGGGATTGAATGTTGGCTTTTACACTTTAAAGATTGTGCTGCGGAGTGTTATAATGAGTTCAGATTCTGCGTTTCCTAAGGTAGGCTCTTGAAAATCGGGCTTGGATTCTATCCAGCTCATTCAAGGCGCTGGAACGAAGCTGCCGGTGGTTGTTGGCTTTCTACCGATCCTCTCAATCGTGGTGTCTTCGGGAAGGGAAACACCAGCTTCTAACATCACCTTTCTGCATGTTGTCGCCACGTCACCCAGAGACTCGGGCAACCCAAACAAGATTATGTTATTTGATCTCGACAGAACATCATGTTCCTCCTCTTGCAATAGCTCTTACACTTCCGCCCGTTTCACAAAATACGTTCCAGTTGTGGACTGACCCTTTGGATTGGACACGACATCACTGAGTGAACTGATTTTCTCTTTAGTGACAGCGGCAGCGTCACTGAGAGAAACTATTTTCTCCTAAAACACGACTAGTTCCCAGTCAGTTTCGGTTTGGACCTTTAGTGATCCGACATCTTCCATACATTGCATGATATATCAGTTCAATCTTCTTCATGCCTTTCTCAAGACTGTTAACCTTTTCTCCTCCTCCATGCGCTAAGCCGACCATTGCTACCCTCGGTAGCCATTACTCACACCAATAACTTCAAACAACGAAGGGGTCATGGGTAAAACATTTCTTATCTTATTCAACAGCCGAAAGGTACCGTTCAACAGTTTATTGTTAACCTTTTGTTTGACTTTTGACAAATCGAGCGTAATGGCTTCGATCTTGGACGAAACGTCATCTAGAGTGCCCTTCATGACCTGTTGACCGGCGAGAAGTTCTCGTAACAGGCTTTCAGAGGTGCTTACCGGTGCTACGGGCGGGGTGTCCGGTATCATGGTAACAGCGTCATAGGACACGTCATCGTCAATTACGTCCGTGTCTCCTCGTCTTGACTTTTCTTCTTGGCCAGGCTTTCAGTGCTGCTGCTCCCTATCAGACTGCTGCTACATGTACTGGCTGAACCAGGCTGGTTAACTTTGCGTTTCCTACCCAGGCTGATACCTGGTAGGGGAAAACCTTCGACAGAGCCGTGCTCATGTTTCAACATCCACCTCTTACGGTTACGTGGCTTCATGATATAAAACACAAAAGGTCATCTGTGGAAAAATAATGCAAAACATCACCCTATATTATTAAAGATCCATTTTCGCAGAAGCTGGGCCGTATAGTGAATGCCTACCGTCATGATGCCGGTGCGAGTGTTATTGACGGAGATGCTCACCGCTTTCATGCTGCTGCTGCTGCTGCTCTCTCTCTCTCTCTCTCTCTCTCTCTCTCTCTCTCTCTCTCTCTCTCTTCACGCCTATGGCATAGGGTGCACACGACGTGCTGAATGAGCTGCCAGTTCAGATGATTGATCCTAGCGAGGTGGAGGAAATCTCGAAAGGCGGAGGTATGCCTATGACCGTTTTGGCGTTATGATTCTCTTCTTGGACAGGGTGTGCGCTGAAATATTCCTTCCTGGCAAGGGTGCTGTAATTAGTTTTGGTCCTTTTGGAGGAACTGTGTGCAATACTGCAGGATGAGGGCATGAGTTGTGCGTGTGTTGTTGTTGTTGTTGTTGTTGTTGTTGTTGTCGTCGTCGTCATTGTTGTTGTCATATGCTCATCTATTCTATGTGTGACCGACATGCCGCAACCAATAACCTGCGAAGGTATCATGCTTTAGTTTTAGCCAGACCATGTGGACTTCATGTGCCAAGATTGGGGGATATTCACGTGGGAGTGGAAACAAAATGTGGACACCAGGCGGAGCTTGAACGACAGCCAAATGAACATCACCTTGATGGCCTTTGCCTTATCTAAGTAGTTCATGGCTATCACTGTTATTTTCTAACCCCTTGCGACGGTGTGTCCGGGAACGATCTGACTGCAATGATGGCAAAAGCCAAGTTCAGTGAGCTAGTTTCAGACGCAGACTTGTTGCACGTACCTCTCTCTCATTGTCTCTTTGCATGTTTGACCTCTGCAGATTAAATCTTTGCATGTTTGACCTCTGCAAATTAAATCTTTGCATGTTTGACCTCTGCAGATTAAATCTTTGCATGTTTGACCTCTGCAAATTAAATCCTCCGGTGTGGTGTAGGGTTACTTGAATATTTTTGACATTGGTGTTTTTTGGTTGCTGGACTATTTTCAGATCACCGCCGAGTATATGCCACAGTGGTCAAACGCGAAGATCACCTGGAGAGGATTGATGGCGGTGGCTTCAACCTGGAGGAGTTCAACACCTTCCCAGAGCGCTACAGGTCCACGTTTGCTGAGAAAGTTAGTACTTGATTGTACAATTCAAGCTCATACATGTACTTCGGTTATCCAGACCCCGAAGTTACGGGCACTTCGGTCTACCGGGCAGGCACCCTTTGGGCGAGTTTCACTGGAGATATTACAACTCTTTTGTCACTTTTTGTGGAAATTGTGACGTCATCTGTCATATCTATAGTCTTTCCCCATCAAAATGTTTGTGATTCGGAGTTACGGACATTTCAAAGTTACGGTCAGTGCCCGGTCTCGGACCGCCCAGATAAACGAGGTATAAGTGCATATGCACGCCGGCCGGGACGGAGTCTTCGCACTTGTACATAGCACTGCAGCCATGCCCGGGCCAGTGCCTTTGTACACGCAGCAGTCCACTTCTGTCTATGGCATTCAGACAGTAGTGTTAAGTCCTGACTACTGTCAACCCGGTGAATAATGACCTCGGGTAAATCAACAACTGGCGAATATCGACAGTCTCCAGAGCTGGTGATCATTTGACTGCATACTCACAACAACGTCATGAATAACGAAAACTCCCAAAGAACGACACTTTCCTTATGCACGGTCAAGGGTTGTTATTCGCAAGGTCGACTGCATATATGCTGGTAAAGTCGCTTCTGTTTTGGATTGAGTCCTTGGAGAAGGCCGTTGATGATCCCCCCCCCCCCCCCCCCCCATGTAGGTGGAGAAAGGGACGGAGAATTTAGGTGCCTGTGTGCGTGAATGCACCTGTGCATGTCTGTGTGAGATAAAGAAAGAGAGGGACCGAGACTGATAATTTGTGTTTACTTTTATATTTTATTAAAAAATATTTCTTTTCCTGATGGTTGCGGTGCAGATTGCTCCGTTTGCGACCGTCATCGTCAACGGCATTTACTGGCAACCAAAGCAGCCTCGCTTGCTGACGACCGCTGATGCCAAGACTGTCCTTCGCAAGACAGCACCTACAGATCCAGAGGCCGAGATTCCTGGAGTTCCTCGTCTACCCCATCGCCTCTTGGCTATTTGCGACATCTCCGCCGATTTGCATGTGAGTGTGTGAGCTGTCTTGGCGATTCGAAATTGCCACTCGGCCCCGTCGGTGACATTGCTGTGACATTTTTGTCTACGCATGGTTGCTGCTGGAGATATCTAGCTCACCCTGAGCAGTTGCTGAGCTGCACAGAACCTTATCTTTTCAGTATACACCTACTTGTACTTGCCAAGTATAATAGACATGCATGCGGGAAGTGGTGAGTTAGCGGTCTGTATCATATTTGCAGTAGCTGTAGTCGTCACACATCTGTACCACAATGATCAATGAAATATAGCTGATCGTGGCCAGTAGTGCCGATGACCCTTTTATTGAGTTACAGCGAATGTGTCCTACTCAATCTGCGTACTGAACTGTTCCGTCCTTTGTGGACTTATCAGCGCAGCACAGAGATTAAATTACAGTCAATGTACAGTGAAACCTGTCTAAGACGACCGCTCATGGGACCTGCAAAATGCGGTCTCTGTTGCCAGGTGGTCTCCTTATCCAGGGTCGTTTTGCTGCAAATAACATCCCTTGGTCCTGGTTACAGTGGTCTTCTGAGGCAGGTGGTCGCCTTATCAGAATGGTCGCCTTGACAGGTTTTCCTGTACATGTCTCCTACTATCTATGTGAGCTGCTCCGTTGATGCAGTTTCTTTCCTACCCTGTATTGAATGTGTTCGTTTTCTTCCATTGTACTGCAGGGCAGCATTGAGTTTATGCGTTCGTACACCAGCTTCGACAACATGTTCCACATCTACAATCCAGAAACGGACCAGTCGGTGTCCGGAAAGTAAGTGCAGTTCCTCATCTGGCGTACTGTACATGTATGAGTATCTGTGCCTACCCCTTGGCCAGGTGACAGGGGACTGCGTACTCGAGCATTTCTCTACTTCAAACTTTGGGAAGTTAGGCTAGGAGTGAAATTTCCATCTGCAGTGTCGGTTGTGAGCATTCTGGCATGCAGGCCATCCGTAAATTACGTTGGTCTACGAGTACCTATCAGTGCAGCCTTCGATTGCTGTTTGACAGCAGAGCAGTCATGTCTGTTGCACTACTAGGTTGTGTGTATTCTCTATGCGATTCCTTCTTGTTCCCTGCTGCTAGTCTGTTTGATGACAGTCTGGTGTAATTGTGGGCTATTCAATTTCCTTTAATCACTTTCTTGGTGCTTGATGTGGTTGTTGTGCAGCTTTTAATCACTTTCTTGGTGCTTGATGTGGTTGTTGTGCAGCTTTTCCGAGGATGGAATTGTAGTGATGTCCATTGATAATTTGCCTGCGCAGCTACCGCGGGAAGCTACCGACAACTTCGGTGACCAACTACGTCACTTCATATCCCCTTTGGTGAGTGTTTGCTGGGTTATCATGCTCCTCTGTGTTTGTGTGTGCCTGTATATGTGTGTGTGTGTGTGTGTGTGTGTGTGTGTGTGTATGAGTGTGTGTGTGTGTGTGTATGTGTGTGTGTGTGCGTGCGTGTGCGTGCGTGTGCGTACATACGTACGTACACGCGCACGTGTGTGTGTCTTCGTTGCGAAGAACACTGCATGTTGGTAGGTTTTCTTTGACTCTGAATCGGAATCGCCACCAGTTGTGTTCCAGTCATTACCTGACATCCTGATTTGAAACAGGAATACTGTACTACAGTATTGTACGACAGTGGTGTAGAATGTGGTGCTCTTATACTGGGTAAGTCTCACTGTGCAGCTGAAATTCCGGATTAATTGCCATTTGTCCCGGTGTAAATAGGTACCTCTGTGTTGTTCACTTCATCACCGCCACATCGGTGGCCGAAGTAACCTCTTGTTGCTGTTGTGGGAAGTGTGTGTGGCCAGCCACAGAGCGCAACGGTAGTGGTGATGAAGTCAACGCAGAATTTTCAGTGGCCGAACGTTGCTGCTTACCATCTTATGATGCAAATAGGTACCATTTCCAGATTGAAGAAAGAGATGGTTTTTTATTTTTGCTGTGTGATCTATACTGCAGACCCGTGCCGACTGGTCGAAGAACTTTTCTGACCTGGACCTACCTGACACCATCAAACAGGTATGCTGCTGCTGCTGCAACACTAGTACACTAGTACATGTATTGCAGTAATTTAGTTGTGTTGGTTGCCACTCGTGTCTCGGCATTTCACCGCAGTGACACTGATGCCTATGTATAACTTACTGCTGGTCTAATAGACTGTCACTTTTATTGGCTGGAAGGTTGTGTACTAGTATACCGCTCTATTTATGTCCAGTGGACAGAGCCAGTAATGCGATATGCACACGGCAATGACACAACCAAGTCATTCTTAGCCGTTACTCCGCTGTCTGACGGGTGTTTTTTTTTGTTCAAGTGCGTCTGTGGGTGTGTGTGTGCGTGCGTGCGTGTGTGCATGTGTTTGTTGTGTAGGCTTTTATAACTTCAGGTGGTCGCTTGACTCCCAATTTCAAATATATTGATCAATTACGTGCAGCCCGGTCACCCAAAGCTGAGAGGTATGTTGGCTGGATTATGGCCTCTCTGTGCACAAATATAGGTGTGTGTATTTGCGTGTGTGTGTGTGTGTGTGTGTGTGTGTGTGTGTGTGTGTATTTGCGTGTGTGTGTGTGTGTGTGTGTGTGTATTTGCGTGTGTGTGTGTGTGTGTGTGTGTGTGTGTGTGTGTATGCGCGCAGCCACGTGTGTGTGACAGTGCGGGCATGGCCACACGCAAGCATGCATGTGATTATGCTTTGCCATCGCCATTGTTCTCGTCATTGCTTTGCTGCACATAGTATCTGCAATCATGGGCAATTGACACTGTAGCTACTGCTGTAAATGTATTGACCCCATGTGTAATGCTACACTTGAACCAACCTTGTTGTTTCACAGCAACAACACGATGATGACTTGTGGGACCAGTGTCGTAGGAGGTGCTGATGTCCTTGAAACGTTAGAGCTGCCAGACTGTGTACCTGTCTCTTGTAAACTGATAAACTCACTAATGCATTATGATGACTTAATTATAACTTTGATGAAAGCAATGAAATAGACAATGGCACACTAACAATAAGAAACAGCTTGAACTCGTAAAGATTTAATCCTTTAAAACATTTTCCAACGCTCTCACCAGAGGAAAATACAAGGCACAGAAACTGAAATACCATTTTCGTCTCCAATGAACTCATGGACAAGAGATCTATCTGTGCACGTATTGTACAAGAGCAAACCTTTGTTATTTTCGTACGGTTAGGGGAGCAAACGAAAGCTCATTCCAGGACCACCGGAAGCGGATTTTGATTGGTTCGGCCATGCCATACCCCTTTCATACAGTTTGTGTATGATATGGTGGGTACGCATAACCTCCTCAGCAGTACTCAGTGACCACACGTTGGTGACCAACAAGTTGGTCCGGTGAATGACCTGACCAACTGGACCTGTTCCGGCGGGCCTGCATTCCTAGCTAAATATTTAACTGTGTTGAGGAATTTAATTTTCTGATATGCATGCACCAGTTATACATAATACTGTTCTTCTTCTTAACTGTTATTGGTGCTTCTGTTTATACATGTGTGTGTGTGTGTGTGTGTGTGTGTGTGTGTGTGTGTGTGTGTGTGTGTGTGTGTGTGTGTGTGTGTGTGTGTGTGTGTGTGTGTGTGTGTGTGTGTGTGTGTGTGTGTGTGTGTGTGTGTGTGTGTGTGTGTGTGTGTGTGTGTGTGTGTGTGTGTGTGTGTGTGTGTGTGTGTGTGTGTGTGTGTGTGTGTGTGTGTGTGTGTGTGTGTGTGTGTGTGTGTGTGTGTGTGTGTGTGTGTGTGTGTGTGTGTGTGTGTGTGTGTGTGTGTGTGTGTGTGTGTGTGTGTGTGTGTGTGTGTGTGTGTGTGTGTGTGTGTGTGTGTGTGTGTGTGTGTGTGTGTGTGTGTGTGTGTGTGTGTGTGTGTGTGTGTGTGTGTGTGTGTGTGTGTGTGTGTGTGTGTGTGTGTGTGTGTGTGTGTGTGTGTGTGTGTGTGTGTGTGTGTGTGTGTGTGTGTGTGTGTGTGTGTGTGTGTGTGTGTGTGTGTGTGTGTGTGTGTGTGTGTGTGTGTGTGTGTGTGTGTGTGTGTGTGTGTGTGTGTGTGTGTGTGTGTGTGTGTGTGTGTGTGTGTGTGTGTGTGTGTGTGTGTGTGTGTGTGTGTGTGTGTGTGTGTGTGTGTGTGTGTGTGTGTGTGTGTGTGTGTGTGTGTGTGTGTGTGTGTGTGTGTGTGTGTGTGTGTGTGTGTGTGTGTGTGTGTGTGTGTGTGTGTGTGTGTGTGTGTGTGTGTGTGTGTGTGTGTGTGTGTGTGTGTGTGTGTGTGTGTGTGTGTGTGTGTGTGTGTGTGTGTGTGTGTGTGTGTGTGTGTGTGTGTGTGTGTGTGTGTGTGTGTGTGTGTGTGTGTGTGTGTGTGTGTGTGTGTGTGTGTGTGTGTGTGTGTGTGTGTGTGTGTGTGTGTGTGTGTGTGTGTGTGTGTGTGTGTGTGTGTGTGTGTGTGTGTGTGTGTGTGTGTGTGTGTGTGTGTGTGTGTGTGTGTGTGTGTGTGTGTGTGTGTGTGTGTGTGTGTGTGTGTGTGTGTGTGTGTGTGTGTGTGTGTGTGTGTGTGTGTGTGTGTGTGTGTGTGTGTGTGTGTGTGTGTGTGTGTGTGTGTGTGTGTGTGTGTGTGTGTGTGTGTGTGTGTGTGTGTGTGTGTGTGTGTGTGTGTGTGTGTGTGTGTGTGTGTGTGTGTGTGTGTGTGTGTGTGTGTGTGCATGTGTGTATGTATGTGTGTGTATATGCGTGTGTGTGTGTGTACAATTGCTACTGCACAGGCGGGTAGCACCGGAGGAACCTAAGTACAGAGTTGTAGTGTTTGGATCTGGACTGGTGGCCAAGCCATTGGTTGACTACTTGGCCAAGAATGGCGTAGCGGTCTGCGTCGGTAAGCAATCTTCCTCGAGCAGGCAGGAGTTGTGGGGCATCTTTTAGCAGACACTTCCTGTTAATGGTCAAATTCGAGAGAGTCTTCTTCTCTAGTTCGAGCGAGGAGAGACAAAGAGACAGAGAAAGTCACGGCCTTACAAAGCCCCAGGCCGCAGTATCACAGTGACTAGCTGTCAGAACTGCTGCTGCTTGCTGTATCCTGTGTAGGCTCTGTAGAGCGTTGCATGCGATGCATATATGTGTACATGTATGTGTACACGTATGTGTACATGTATGTGTACACGTATGTGTACATGTACAGCCCATGCTGCTGCTCTGCTACTACGTGTACTGCATGCTACATGACTGTGTGTGTGCGTGTGTGTGCGTGTGTACGTGTGTGTGTGTGTGTGTGTGTGTGTGTGTCTCTCTCTCCGCATGAAGCTACCGCGGCTGTGGAAGAAGGCAACACGCTCATCGCAAACACTCCCAACTGCAGTGTGAAACCGGTGGATGCCACCAACCCGGCTGAAGTGCGCGATGCTGTGCGCGGTGCTCAGCTTGCTGTCAGGTGAGGATAGGAAAACGTATGCCTTTGCTGACTGGATAGAGTTAGAGTATCTTGCCTTGCATTGGAATCAGCCTTTCTGCAACTTTCAAAATGTGGCCATGGACTATTACAGCAGCTTGCTATAGCTCGCTAAATCCTTTGATGATCGATGATTGTACTGTTTCGCCCAATTTGGTGTGACTGGCACTGACTGCACACACATGTATTTGTTTTTCTGTCTGTCTGCCTGTCTGATTGTGCACGTGTATGTGTACGTGTGTGTGTGTGTGTGTGTGTGTGTGTACGTGTACGTGTGTGTGTGTTACTTGGTAATACAGTGTTCTACCTGCGCCGCTGCATCCACGCGTGGCTCAAGCCTGTTTAGATGAGAATGTACACATGCTAACAGCCAGCTACACGTCACCAGAGCTTGCAGAGTTTGATACCAGGGCCAAAGAAAAGAACCTAGTCTTTCTGAATGAGCTTGGTCTTGACCCTGGCATTGACCACTTGCTAGCTATGCAGTGTATTGATGAAGTACGCGACCATGGTGGAGAGGTTAGTTGGAAATGTAATTCGCAGCTTCTGTGTGTGTGTGTGTGTGTGTGTGTGTGTGTGTGTGTGCACGTGTGTGTGTGTGTGCGTGCGCGCGTGTGCGTGTGTGTGTGTGTGTGTGTGTGTGTGTGCACGTGTGTGTGTGTGTGTGTGTGTGCGTGCGCGCGTGTGCGTGTGTGTGTGTGTGCGCACGTGTGTGTGTGTGTGTGTGTGTGTGTGTGTGCATGTGTGTGTGTGTGTGTGTGGCTAGCATAGCATATGCTATCGTGACTTTGGCACTGAGCATGTCAGCGTGTGTAAATATGAGCAGTTGAATGTTGTTGGATATGCATGCCATGCATGCCTGTGTTTTGATTCATTACTCAGTCTCTCTCTCTCTCTCTCTCTCTCTCTCTCTCTCTCTCTCTCTCTCTCTCTCTCTCTCTCTCTCTCTCTCTCTCTCTCTCTCTCTCTCTCTCTCTCTCTCTCTCTCTCTCTCTCTCTCTCTCCTCCCTCTCCAATCTTAGATCACATCATTTGTGTCATGGTGTGGTGGTTTGCCTGCTCCTGAAGATTCTGACAACCCTCTCCGGTATAAGTTTAGGTAAGTGTTCCTGCATGCTGGTCTAGCTGAGTCTGATGTCGGAAATGATTGTGCCAAGGCGTCGTATGAAATTCCCATATTTCTCTTCTTCACCTATGTACAATGTATTTGTTTGGGAAATGTTTGTAATTGCCGACAATAGTGATTTTTGTTTTCTAGACGACAAAATTGACGATTACCACAGGTACTTTCATTGTGTTCTCGTCAGGTGGATACGTACAGAACAGAAAACAGCCTGTAGAATAACCATTATAACATACCGGCATGCGCATGTAACTGTTGTATGCTGCAGTAGGAGGATAAGTGTGAGTAAATGAACAAGGGAACTTTAAAACAAAAAGCATGGACGGTTCGTTCTGTTTGTCGTCTATTGTTGTGAATGTTATCTCAATGTAAGTTCTGCTGACCAGACCTCTTCACGCTCTCACCACTTTTGCTTGACTAGGCACTTGAGGGTCTTCACTTTCTTTGTTCATATGTTCACGCTAATCCTTCTATTGTCCGCTTATATCACCTGCTGGTATTCTGGTGATTTGTAGAACAGTTACTCTGCTGGTTGGTTTTCGTTTTCCGCCAGTATCCAACTTATGAGAAGGTGATGTAAGTAGTTGTGGAATCCTTCGACTATTGAGTGTGGGGAGCCTGGAATCTGTATGTTTATTTAGCTTTTAATATTGATAGTCATTGTGTGTGTGTGTGTGTGTTTGTGTGTGTGTGTGTGTCTGTGTGTCTGTGTGTCTGTGTGTCTGTGTGTGTGTCTGTGTGTCTGTGTGTGTGTATCTGTCTGTCAGTCTGTCTGCCTGTGTCTGTCTGTGTCTGTCTGTCTCCGTCTGTCTCTGTCTGATTGTCCGTCTGTCCGTATGTCTGCCTGTCCATCTGTCTGTCTGTCCGTCTGGCTGTCTGTCAATCTCTGTACATGTGTGTGTGTGTTTGTGTATGTGTGTGTGTGTTTTGCGTATTCTTTCTATTTAGCTGGAGCCCACTGGCAGTATTGGGAAATGTTCTCAGACCAGCCGCATACTGGCAGGATAACAATGTACGCTATAGACTAATACCATGACGGACTAAAGCTGCTCAGTTCATTCAACCTATGATGTTAACTCCCTTGGGACCAGAAACACCTTGCGTCTTATCCCCAAATCACGAAATATTCATGCAGTATACCAGTATGTATGTGGAGTTTATTGCAGAACCAAAGAGGAATGTTGCTGTTGAGCAAACATCATGTTATGGTGACGTAAGTGATTTCCTTTCTTTCAGTTGGGTGATGAATTCTAGAGCGGCTTGGTGGTGAGAAGTGGAGAGGACTTTACAATGTGCGGGGGTTGCATTGACTCAGCGACTTAGGAGCTGCATCTGCGCCTTGATCCTTGAGAACACTTCAGCAAGCGAGTACATACTGATGTGTGTGTGTGTGTGTGTGTGTGTTTGTGTACAGGATGTGTTGGTAGCCGATGGTGGGGGTCTTCTCGATGCAGCTGAGCCCATCGACTTCATGCCCGGCTTCAGCTTGCAGGGTATACCGAACCGTGACTCCCGCACATACCGAGACTCTTACGGCATCCAGTCTGCACACACATGCAAGCGTGGCACACTACGATACACGGTGAGGCACTGCGATATATCTTTTTTTTAAATCATTTGGAATTAAAATTGGTTATTTGTTTCAAGTGGAATGTTCAGTTATTCACGGTGGACTTTTGCTTGCCATCGCATGAGCGTTGGTCTCGCTCACCTTTGTGTGTGTGTGTGTGTGTGTGTGTGTGTGTGTGTGTGTGTGTGTGTGTGTGTGTGTGCGTGCGTGTGTGTGCGTGCGTGCGTGTGCGTTTGCGTGCGCACATGTGTGTGTGTGTGTGTGTGTGTGTGTGTGTGTGTGTGTGTGTGTGTGTGTGTGCGTTTGCGTGCGCGCATGTGT